CTTATGGGCCGACACTGTTTTGAGAATACAAACAGATTTTTACATGACATGATTAAATATCGAGGTAAAACAACATGGAAATCGGATCAATTTGGATCAGTCATTATACAAATAGGGCCTAACGACACCAATCGATTTTGACAGAATCGTCTATGAAAACAAGTTGTAACTCGGAAACTAGGCAAAGCAGGAGACAAAATTAAATGACAGTAGATTGTGAGAACATATAGCTTTCATTTTCCACAACAATTGTCACGATTTCAGGTTTATACAAGCCTGTAAACACGATCATTTTCCCCCTAAAATGTAGATGAATTCTGCATCGGCTCTCAAAGCTATTCCTCATATGACGTCAAAGAGGCGCGCCGCTCTGATTGGTTGAAATTTCGTTCGCGGGTGAGAATTGTGCACTGTTGTCAAAAAGGTCGATTTAAGTCAATTAAAGGTCGAAATGAGTAGTTTTAATGACGGGGTTTCATTTATAACGATGCCAGTTAGTGATTTATGTATTTGTACCCCCTAGGGTTTAGAGCATCGGCTCTCAAAGCTATTCCTCATATGACGTCAAAGAGGCGCGCCGCTCTGATTGGTTGAAATTTCGTTCGCGGGTGAGAATTGTGCACTGTTGTCAAAAAGGTCGATTTAAGTCAATTAAAGGTCGAAATGAGTAGTTTTAATGACGGGGTTTCATTTATAACGATGCCAGTTAGTGATTTATGTATTTGTACCCCCTAGGGTTTATGTGACCTTTAACACTCTCCCCTACTGTCAACACACTTGTAACAGAACAAGTTGACATGATACCATCATCAAGGAATGTAACAATTTTCTTGCCTTCAAAACGCCACTTCTTTACCAACTGACGCGTGACTTTTGTAAAGACATAAGGAGCGGAAGTGAGACCAAATGGTAGGACCAGCTAGGAATTGGTAGTAAAGCCGCTTCCCGGACGAATCTAACCATGCTGTGCTGGTTGATTGTCGACTGGTAGAGTGACTGAAGAGGTAGGGACAATCTCGTCTAAAATGGCTGAATTCGCCACAGTTGAAACAGGCCCCACTCCTGGGACTTCTGACACGAAAGGGCTGACTGGTTGATTTAAACTTCTTGAAGTGGGACGCACGCTTTCACTCTGCGATCGCGACTCGATCGATTTGTTGAATACGGTGTACTGCAAAACTAGTTCCTCTGACAAATCTTTTTACAAGCCTTAGTGTCTGCCTTTTCAACCCTCTTATCATCATCAAAATTATCTGCTAAATCATTGGAAACATAGTTCCGGACAGTTTCCCACCTTTCATCGAAGGAATCGGCAGATTTGATAAGTGTATTTCTACGTTTTAACTTCTCCGTCACAAGTGAATCTTCGTCCGCTTCACTGTCTGCATTCTGAGTAAACAATCCAAAACGTCCGAGTTGAAGCTAAACTGTATCCTGTTGCTCTCTTTTCTCCAGGTATACTCAGTATCAGCTTCTTAATGTCTTTCGATGTCTGGATAAACTCATTTTTCAACTTGGAAATGTTATGGTCAATCGAACTTTGTAAATCTTGACGGTTTTGTTCAAGCTTACACAAAATGGCGTCAAATTTTGCCACCATTTCTGGATCCATGATGCAGAAGAAGAAAAAGATACCCGTATGGCACTGCACGACAGCCGAGGGAGTCAAACCATTAAATATCTCACCCTTATATACCCCTCTAGGACCACTAGCGCCCCTAGATTACCTGCCCTTTGATGCTTGCTCACCGCTAGGAGAAATTAATTTTCCTCTAATTCATTCTTCAAACGAGGAAAACTATATTATCCTATTAAATCTAAATGCTACCAAAGCTAAAGGTAAAGCTCAAGATAATATTGTTATAAGCTTCTAACAAATTAGCTGTATATCTGTGCGCTATCATCACCAAGTTGTTCAATTTATCATTACGTCTTTCCTGCTCTCCTTGTCTATGGAAACAGTCTGTTATTGTTCCAATCCAATAAAAAGGTAGTGTTCGTGACTGCAATAATTTTAGACCGACTTTAATTAAAGTTCTGTTTCTAAGGTATTTGCAAAATGTGTATTTAAGCACGTGTATAACTTTTCTGGATAATAATATCATAACCACCTCACAGTCGGGATTCAAACATGGGGGTTCAACTGTTTATCAGTTAACTGAATTATATCATGTGATCTCCAAAGCATTGGATGATGGAAAGGAAGTTCGTGTTATATTCTGTGATATTAGCAAGGCGTTTGATCGTGTATGGCATGACTCGTGAAAGTAAAGTCAACAGGGATGAGCGGTAATCGTTTGGATTGGTTTGGGAGTTACCTTAGTAATAGGAAACAAGCTATATGTCAAATTATAATTAAAACCTGTTTTAGCCGGAGTTCCTCGGGGCTCAGTTTTAGGACCTCTGTTGTTCCTTGTTTATATTAATGACCTGACTTATGGGATAATGAGTAATATTAAACCTTTTTACTGATGATACATCGTCATATCTAATTATTGAA